ACAGCTTCTACATACGTTTGAGGCTCGTTTTCTAACAAACATGTCAGAAGATCCAGTTCATTTTCTAGTAAACAAGTTAGAATATGCATATCAAATTTTAACATGTACGTCCGAAAATCTGGACCAAAGGATTTTTCAATCCTAACTCGCTTGCTACGTCTAGCTTCGAGCTTGGGTTCTATTTCAGACCCTCCACTGCCGTTATCCACAGCCTCGTCGAATGTTTGTTTCGACGTACTAGGTCCCTCACTGGACCTACATGGAAATACATCTTCAAAGAACGATGCATTCCTTGATTCAATTTAATCGTGTTCTTATGTACGTCCGGATTATGGGACTTGTGTATTAAGAACCGATACGCACTACTGTTATGTGCATAGCCAATAAAGATACAGTTCACCGTTTTAGGACCTATCTTTATTTTATTAGGTGTTGGCACCAAAACTTTGGCAAGACACCCCCACACTTTCAGGTACTGGTAGGAAGGTTTCCTATCGTTCCACAGCTCATAAGGAGTTTTATCGAGCTTCTTGCGGGGACCTTATTTAAAAGGTAGTTACTTGTCAAAATCGCCTCACCCCACATGCTTTGAGGTAGGCCCGAACTTATCAACATCGCATTCATCATCTCTTTCAATGTGCGATTTTTCCATTCGGCAACACCGTTCGATTGAGGTGCGTAAGGTGCCGTACGCTCGTGTATGATACCTACACTTGCACAGAAGTCACCAATAGGTGCTTCATACTCACCACCTCGATCGCTTCTAACCTTCTTAATCTTCCGATTAAGTTGGTTTTCCACTTCATTCTTATAAAGAATGAATTTATCAACGGTTTCATCTTTGCTCTTAAGCAAAAACACATAGCAGTATCGTGTGCTATCGTCGATAAACGTGATAAAATATTTATTACCACCGCGCGATTGTATTGATCTAAAATCACATACATCGCTGTGAACCAACTCAAGTGGTTCTGTTTTCCTTTCAATCGATTTAAAAGGAATTTTCGTTGGTTTTGCCTCAACACAAATCTCACATTTGTGCTTATCAACTTGAAATGCAGGAATATGGTCCAAGTTAATTAATCTACGTATAGAATTAAAGTTAACATGACCCAGTCTACCGTGCCACAAACACGAAGACTCAAGTAAGTAGGCTGAATTAGTAACGCTTTTATTAATTGGCGGTTATTGCATCGAGCTTGAAAAGCCCATCTAGCACATGACCCTTGCCTACGTACATTCCCCATTTCGACAAAACGACTTTATCTGACTCAAATACTAACCGGAAGCCATTCTTGTTCAACAATGAACCAGAAACTAAGTTCTTCCGTAGCTCCGGTACGTACAAGACGTTGTTCAGAGTCAGCTCTTTCCCAGAGGTCATTCCGAGAACTACTTTGCCCATGCCTACCACAACAGACTGAGCAGAGTTTCCCATCCATACCTTCCCACTATTAGTCGTCTCGAAGGTAGTAAACAACTCACGATTGGAACTCATATGTCGGATCGCACCCGTATCAATGAACCATTCCGTTTGGTTCGAACCAACCAGGTTTACCTCGGTCACCATTGCCGAGAGGATGATTTCAGACTTATTCTGATTGACCCGCACCACGTTAGATTCAGAATTACAATTCTTCCTCTTAAGTGCTTTACAATCAGCCCACTTGTGGCCCATAATGCCACAATTGAAGCATTTTCCGTAGAATTGCTTCTTGAAGTCCTTTCTGCCCAAAGGCAACAAATGGACACCAGATTCCACTTGAAAGGCTTCACTCACGATCATTCATTCGTCTACTTGACTCAGGACGATCCTGGAATCCACCATCTTGTATTCAAGTAATTGGCTACGACAAACATTTTTGCCTTAGCATCATCACTATTATACTTCAGGTCCAAAGATTCCCACAACGAGTCACACAAACCATTCAAAACATAGTTTAGGCATAGGAAAACCAAATATTTCCAAATCCGTACTATGCTAACAGTTTGAGCGTTAGACTCGTGTTCCTTTTCACTAGGAACCATCTCGGTCAAAAACCATGACACGTCGAGAATCACTAGGTTGTACAACATTTTAAGTTGCAACCCTTCGAAATTCAACATCTTGAATTTCCATGGTCTTTCGACCAATCCACAAGGTACCGTCCCATGTACCTTCATCATAGGGATATACCCTTTGATGCCATCACCGGTCTCCGATCCAAAGTTCACCGGGGTTTCGGAATGTGCAACTACATTGCCGATCCGACCATTTGAATGTGCAACACGAGCAGCATTCACGGTTCCACCACTCGTGGAATCCATCGATTTAAATCACCAAAAAACGAATCGATTTTAAGATTGTTAGAAATTGGTGAACAAATCGATACACGATATATATATATATATATATATATATATATATATATATATATATATATAATATTTGTCCCGAAAAATGGAATTTAATTTATAGAAAATTAATTCCAACCAATTTTGGTTCAAAACCAAAATTACAAATATATATAGCGTATATATATTAACCAACTAGGGATTTATTTTATCAAAATAATCCCACTACTGCTAGTACGAAACTAGTACTCGGGACTTAATTTCCACGAAATTAATCCCACCACAACTAGTACGAAACTAGTACAAGGATTTAATCTTTCCGAGATTAATCCCACCACTTGGTCCGAAACCAAGAACAAAATAAAAGCAAGAACCGGTTTCTAACCTGAGGTTTTAACACAAGTTGTGCACTCCGATGTTTTATGGAATTATGTTGGCAAACAATCTTTCTCTTTTGAAATCAAGGGGATTAGAGAGAAAAACAATAGTTTTTGAGTTTTCAGAAATGGCGTGAAAACGTTCTGCCAACATAACAAACTATTTGTAGGGATAGGGGAATTAAGTAGCATTATAATGGCCATTAACCAACATAAATCCAAGATTTAATAATTGGATAATAACGTTTGAAATGGTCGTACTTATTATCATAATAATACCAACGGTCACGAACTTAATACACGATTAATTTGTACCGACCACAACGACCCGTTTCAAAATATCTGAGTGACCGAGAATCCGTACAAACCCGAAAGGTTAACGAATTGGGATCGGAAACCACACTCGAGTGGTCCACACGCACCGAAATGGTGCAGCACGAAAGGAGCTCACTAAAGAACACGAAAGGAGCTCCAATTCTCCAATGTTCAAATTAAGCTATCAAAGCTTAATTACTCAACTTTCGTGTAGCACGAAAGGAGTTCCACTCCCAATTCTCCAAAATAAGCTTTTTCAAAGCATATCACTTTGTAATGTGCTAGCAGCACATTACTTGAATTAAGCTTTCGTGTTTTAAGCTCAAAGCTTAACAAAAGCACATCTCGTGCTTAACGATTCATTAGCATAAAATGCTAATTAACTACTTGCTTAATTATCCTTTCGTCATTTGGACTTCTCTCAAATAGGTTCACCTTGAGAAACAATTTCTCATTCACCTATTACCCATTTTGAGCGTACATTATATCTAATTCTTCGTCTCACTACGAAGAACCCGAATCCACTTTGACCCGACCTAAATCGGAAGTGGACCCACATATATTTGCACCACAAAATAATCACTCAAAATGCCATTTTTAGCCAAAAATTCCAACAACGACGACAACCTGACCGAGTTTGGGGTACGACGGCGGCTGACAGCAAGGTGGTGGCGTTGGGCGTGGCGACGACGTCGAACCATGTTCTGGAAGACTTGGTTCGAGAGAAGAAGTTGTTTTTCAGAAAAACACCTCTATTTTCCATTGATCAGGCACCCAGTGGTTTGGATTTAATTTGGTTTGGTTTTGGTGGAAGTCCACTCTTTGAAGGTTTCATTTTTTGTCTGATTGATTATTCAGTTGGCTCACTTGGAGTGCCACATGAAGTGTTTTGTTGATGACAAGACGAAGAATCATCCATATGCAGAGTTAATATTTGAAAAATAAGAATTATCAAAACACCAAGTTTTCTAGTTTACTAGAGACACAAGAAAAACATAATAGCAATAAACCCTAAATCCATAATTAAAAATACAAATAGCAGCACCAAAGATAACAAAATAAAAGCGAAGAAGAACCTATTGCGTGTGTGTATTACTACATATTAGGGATTTCACGTTCATATAATCGTAGAATAAGACATATAAACATTAAATTAGGTTTAATAAATGGAAAGAAGGATGAAGAAATAGACATACCTTGGTTTTAATCTTTGCAATGGAGGGGCAGAGAGTTGAGCGGAGGGCGGAGTGGTGAACTGCATGAGTGTCGGTTGTGTGAGCATAGACAGTTGACTGATTTGGAACTTACAACTTAGAGTTGAGGTCTGAGGACTTGAGGAGTTGGGGTTATTAATTATTATATTATATATATATAATATATGTATTGTTATAATAATAATAATAATAATAATAATAATAATAATAATAATAATAATAATAATAATAATAATGCATGAATGCAAAATGGAGCTGAATGAAGGAAGAGGAGATGGATTTGTATATATTCATTCGTATTGAATATTTAGTTCAATATGTACTGAATGTAAGTGTTAACATAAATGTGCTTATAGTTTAATGGGTAAAGTGCTTATTTTGCAAACTTGATGGTCAGGGTCGGGGGTCAAACCTCACCTTGGACATCTACTTCAATTTATTTGTTTCGGAACATGTATATATTTATTATTTAAAAAAAAAAAAAACTGATCGGTTTTCGTTAACCGAATAGAACCAATAAAAAAACCTGATCTGTTTTCGTTAATCGAACCGAACCGGTCGGTTTCTCTAAACCAAGTACCGATCGGTACTTCGGTTTAAGACCGAACCAAAACGCCCATCCCTAACACATAATATATTGCTAAAAATATTATGTGTCTGTAGTTAACATATTTTGTACTTGTAGTTAATTGTTTCTGTTTGTAGTTATCATTTTATGTGTTTGTAGTTAAAATGTTATTTGACTTCAATTTATTTACAGGTATATAAATTGTATAACTATGGCATATGGCAAAAATGTTGAATTAACTGGTGCAATAGCAGTTTTAGAGGGAAGCACACTCACTGGATAGTACCCAAGCATAGTTTTTGCAAGACAAAACTCTATTAATTGGTGTGATCCATGCTTTCTCTTGTTGCCACTTCCGCCATAAATGAATTTTTTATTTGATCTAGTCTACTTGTGTGCTTCACTGTAATTTTAGTGCCTTGACGCAGTACATCTTCAAAAACAGAACCAAATCCCCATTTCCCAAAAGACATTGATAATACACATAGTTTCTCATCTATGTTGAATATATACGGTAAATTATTAGGTGTACCGTTTCATCAATGCTCAATGCGTGATTCTAATTAATTGACCAAATTTCATGTTAAATTTTATTTTGTATTTTTTCAATACATTGTACTCTAATATATTCATAGTATATGTTTAACAATTATGTCAATTAATTTTGATTGGGATGTAGTTCAAACCTAAGACCTGGCCTTCCTTATAAAAATCAATAAGTTAACAATAATAAATAGTGAGCGGAATATATAATATGAACCATTCTGGTGGAACACAATGTCTGAAGATTACTTCAACTTGTAATGTGGAGCCTTTTGATGCTCATTTTGAGATTTGATTTGCACCATCCTATGCGCAAGAGCCTCTATGCTATACAATTCAAACTCCTTTAAAAAATGGAATTATATATATATATATATATATATATATATATATATATATATATATATATATATAGTGCAAACGCCATATCTCTTTTCACTGTGGGACAACGGCTTCTTACCCATCTTCCCAACTCCATTTTGCCAATTGCATACGTACATTTTGAGAATTAATTTCTTATTCTTCAGTTATCAATTTTAAAAGTACAATATATCAATTTCTTTATCTCATTTAGAATGACTCGAATTTACTTGAATCCAACACAAATTGAAAGTGAACCCCATAAATATTTAATTATTTATACTACAAAATGTCAACCATTCAAAATAACAATTTTGCTAATATTTCTAACAAATGTTACTAAGTTAAAGAGACCACGACAATAGGGCCGTTATGCTCATTACTAAACTTGTTGAAGAGATGAAATATAACCAAGGTCTATCTTTTTTATCAGAGGTTGAATCGATCATCAGAAGAAGAATTAGGCCAAAAATTAGGATACATTCTGGGAAAATCAAACTTCCATTGAAGAGAAGCAAATGAAAGGCTTTCATAAAAATTCTCGTAGAATCGAGAATGAAGTTTTCATTCTGTACATGCCAGCTCATGAATTAGTAACTGCTTCCAATTTAAAAAAAAAAAAAATCCCAATTGTGTCGAACTTTCCATTTTTGGAATAGAATATTTACGGAATCTCCATGAATAGGATCAAACCTTATTCCATGGTATTTACATGAGGTTCCTCTTTAAGAAAGTCCCCGAGAGGGCTTAGTTGATCCATGATTTATGTTTCATCTTTCGTTTGTTTCGAGAAATCTATCGATCCATTCTGATTCTTTCTTTTTCTCTTGATTCTTTTCCGATCGAGATGGATAGATCCTGTTCATGGATTAACGAAAATGCGCAAAAGCTCTATTTGCCTCTGCTATTCTAAATGAAGAAGGTTGAATAATCGATGTGTTTTCTTACTAGAAAGCATAATTTAGCATTTTCTAAGTTAGATAGATACTAACTCCTATCCAAGTTGATCGGATAATTAACATAAGAGCTATGATGCTATACATACTGTATCGAGAATTTGAACATTAAAATTTTGTATATTTTGAATGGAATCATATATGATATTTTTTGTATATTTTGAATGGAATCATATATGATATTATTTGAGATGTTCAGCTGCCTTGTATATATATTAATATAAGTGGAATTAAGAATTTTCAATTACTCATAGATCATTATTCCAAAAGGTTGAACCCCAACCTTAAGGGCCCGACAGAGCATTTTGGGAGGATGTAAATTATGGTGACTCAACTGAAATGAACACCAGAGGCTAAACCGATGCTCCCCCTCACTTTGAGAGGTTGCTCCCACAAAAGTGGCTGGTGAGACTCGATCCCTGATCATTATTCCAAAGTTTCACCTCTATAACCAGTTGAGCTACCCATGCGGGCATTACTCATAGATCATCATTATACTACACAAATGACCTTACCACTCATATGAGTCATATCCCCTTTGACTTCGCAATGTGTTTACTAATAATATATTATTTCTATCCCAACACATTATATAAATCATACCATCATTTTATTTAACAAAAGCAATAATAATACGATTTATTTAAACCATTCAATCTAGCTAATAATATACGGAGTAATATTTAAATTTCGGAAATTAAATTAAATTAAATGACGTCACGTTGCCGGCGACCACCACCATTGTTGACTGCAAGCTAAGCTATCTTCAACATTAATTCTGGACGTTGGCAGAGAAGGGATTGAACCCAGAATTGAGAATGACTTCAAGTGGAGGAGTAAGAGGCTTTGGCATATGGTTCCACTCATACCAATCCCAACCCTCGCAACAGTCTGGTTCAACGTTCTCTGGAATCTGATGAGGATCCCTCAGTTCTGCTCGGATCAAGAGTACTACGTAGTGGGATGGTTTAGCTTCGTTGTGAAACACATGGTTTATCACCTTCAGAGTCTCTATGTTCTTCAGCTCTAACCCTGCTTCTTCCATTACCTCTCTCGCTGCACATTCTTCAAAAACCTCCCCTGCAAATAAATGAAGCGGTTAAGATTTCACTGCATGCATGTAGTATATTTCTCTACACTAGTTCGTCTCCTAGCGGGAACAGCCTTTTGGCATGGCGTTCTTGATTTGAGCCCAGTATAAGTTGGTTTATATCACTAGGGTCAAAAGCCCGGAATAATAACTGCGGGTTTAATTTCCTCCTCACTCAAAACCATGATGAATATGTTAAGGAACGTACCAAATTCGAGGTGGCCGCTGGGAACGGAGAAACAAGAAGTGCCAGCACCGGCGAGACGCTTTCCGACCAACACCTTCTCCCCTTTCAGTATGAAAACCGCCACTGCTACTTTGGGAACCTTATCACTGTTCATTTTCTAGGGTTTTGGCTAAACCAAGTAGATGATAATACTGTGTTTAAGGTTGTGAATTTTAGCTAAGTATAAAGATTGTTTTTTTTTTTTTTTGTGTGTGTTTCAGTTCCAATGATGGAGGGGGTCCTTTTATAGTGTTCTAAGGGCTGCTGGTATCAGCATACCTTATTGGAACTATATACAGAGTCAACCGAAAACTAATTATAGTATATACATATACACAACTTTTTGTACTTCTAGAATTCACATGAATTACAATATTTAAAGTATCACAATTTCAATTATAAATATTACAATATTTATTATTAATAACAATCATTTGACTCTAAATAGTATCACAATTTTACATATTAATATTATAATATTTATTTTGAGTAAGTTTATTTATTTTAAATTGATATTAAATTTTTTGTAATAAGTATTATGATTTCTATCCTAAGTAACAAACAATTATACTAGATCTGACTCGTCTAACAAATTAAAATCCAGAAATGGTCAAACACAAATATGATTCTATATATAAAAGTGTATAATTTAGTGTTGAGTCTTAAAACTATATTGATACAATTTAGTAATTTACCTCATCATGGACCCACAAGACATGTTCACAGGGTCTAGAGTATATATTCCTATAAAGGCAGGAAAGTTGGGTTATAAGAATATACTGCTCCTAACCATGTGTAGTAATTAATGAATAGGTTAATATAACTACGAACAAAAACACAATAGTTGATTTGCGGTTGAAAATTTCTTGTCGGTATTTCTGTAAAATTGTTTTTTTTTTTTTTTTTTTTTTTTTTTTTTTGCATCTTTGATGAAATATAAGATATAATTCCACCAATGATATGATACTGCAATACTAATTAACTCAATTTGTGATTAACTATAAATAACTTAATGTGTCAAGCATTTTATGTTCAGATAGCATGTAGTGACCTCTTCCATGTGGGAGGTCATGAGATCGAGCCTCAATGGAGGTGTTATTGATTCTTTGTGCTTCATAGGTTGAAAAAGTATGTTTGAAGAGATATTACAATGTAATAGAGTCACTAGAAGTTCAACTAGTCATAGGGAAAAGGTGGTTGAGTTACCATGATTTATATTCTCTAAAAGTGAGGGAGGCTTGGCTCCTTGTGCGCACTAAGCAAAGGTGGTTGAGTTACCATGATTTATATTCTCTCAGGCCGAGATTGGGGATTCAACCTTTTGGGAAGAATATAATACAAGTTGATGGTTTCAATGTTATAGTCTTAATTAGTATGAAAACCTTGCATTGAATTTATCTAGATGTGATGTTATAGTCTTAATTAGTATGAAAACCGTGCATTATTGAATCTATCTAGATGTTTGACAAAGTCCTTCAAAGTATGAAGGTATATATATATATATATATATATATATATATATATATATATATATATATATAAATATATATAAGAGCTCAAGAGACTTAGGCCTATAATGAGTAAAAAAAAATGACAGTCATCAAATAAATGGCTCAGATTGATCAGATTTTAATTTTTCTTTGAGATTTCCTAATTTATCCTTAATGAATATGGTTATCCGTTAACTTTTCCGTTAAATATTATCTTTTCCGTTAATTTCTGTTAGTTCACCGTTAACTTACTCATTGATTTCAATAAGAAAGGTCTTAGGTTCAAACCACATCCCAATCAAAGTTGGCATAATTAGTACTCTATTTTACTCTTATTAAATTACTAATTTTTTTACGCGCGAATGGGATAATGCTCAATAATTATTTTTAAATAAGTATTCCAAAGTATATCAATGCAATATTATATCAAAGATGTTCATGCATAGGTAAATAAATGTTGAATTTGTTTATTTAAATCGGTAATTTAAAGTATATAAATGCAAGATAATATATGAGAGATTGATTATAATTGTCACTAAAAT